GATGCCCCATGATGGGCTCCACACTTGAACATTCTGCAGATAGAACTGCCCCCCTCCCCATGGCAAGCCCATTCGCTTTGGGGTGTTCACTGTCATGCTACAACCAGGAATGTTTTACAACAGAGCAGTTTAGAGAAGAGAGATAGAAGGGTGAGGAAATTTGACTTCTCCAGGTGTGTTTCCTATGTGAGATGGGAAGGAAAGTGACTAAAATCACCTGCTTCACAGGGAAGACACAGAACAAAGGAAGTTCCTGTAAACAGCTTCACACAGAGCCCTGTTACCAAGCCAAACCTCACGAGAGGTGATGGTGTATCTCTGTCTCTTGGTTCTTCTCTCCTAGAAAGACTACAGTAGACACACACACAGCTTAAGTAGAAGTTGTTGTTGTTTGTTTGTTTTTAGCAAAGCAAATTCTTCAAAGAGAGATTGGAGTAGGCTGTCCCAAAAGAAAACTAGCAGCCCGGTGGGCCCTAGGTTGTGGACATGAGAGACTTTTATGAGCATTTATGAGGCAGGTGGCATATTATAATGAAGTCTGGGTCTTCTTATAGCAGGAACACCAGATCATGAACACCATGAGCAGAGGCAGGAATGGAATTGTTGAGTTGCGTTCCATTCAGAGATCCAGCAATGAGAAGGCAGCGGGTTAAGACCCTCAGACTCCTCCCAGCTTATGTCCAGCCATCAGATTATAGGAGAAAGGTGGGAAGGAAGAAAGTCATTCTGGAACCCGGCTGCTCTCTGTTCAGGTGTCAGCCACGGAGACCTCTGATGCCTATGCCTCTCTGTCATCCCTCACACTGTCCCCCCATGCCTGGGTCTGAACACTTCTTTAAGCACTGGGTCCACTCAGTTTCTGTTGGCATCAACCTTGTACCCCTCCAGGAGCATCTGGGCTAGAGAAGGTATTCAACTCATAACCAACGTGTGTGTGTGTGTGTGTGTGTGTGTGTGTGTGTGTGTGTGTGTGTGTGTGTGCATACAGGTCATACTGCACACATGGCCAGAAGACAGTTTTCAGGAATGAGTTCCCTGTGGGTTCCCAAAATAGAACTCTGGCTAGCAGGCATTTTTGACAAAACTTTGAGCTATTTTGCTGGACCAGCCCCCTTTAAAAAAAAAAAAAATACAAGCTCCAGACCTACTTTCTAACTGTCTTCATAAGAAAATAATATTCTAGTCAAACCTAAGCCACCAGGAAAAGCTATCAAATAAATACAGCAGGGCCAGCATATCCATTAAAGAACTACAGTGCCTAGAGTCCACTGTGCTTTTAGGGCCCCTCAAAAGAAGGTATTAATTTACTCTAAAATCAAAAGTAAAACTGATCTTCTAGGTTGAATGAATCATTTTTAACATGATATCATAGTCATCTTTATACTCACAACTATACCTATATGTCTTTTTTTCTTTTTTTTTTTTTTTCCATAAAGGAAAAAACCTTGAAAAGCAAATACACGTGTAGGACCTGTGAAAGTATACATGCTCAGTATACATATTTGGTCTCATTTGCTTAAGAAAGGGTTCTAGAGATCCAGGTATTCCACCAGACTATGAAAATGTGAAGTGTGTTCATGGCCAAAAGAGCTAAATCTAGTTATCACAGGGCTATCACACGGGGGCGGGCTGGGGGCGGGGGACGGGACGGAACGGGACTCCTTCCCAAGGTGCATGGAGATCCAGGAACAAACCAAACATATTTCAGAAGAGACATGAATGCAGCTGCCCCCTGCCACCCTCCACCCTCAGATCTGCTGGGAAACAAAGCACACAGCAGGACACCGTGGGGGCGGGTGTCAGGGCCGGAACGAGACCCAGTGCTGAGAAAATGCATTGCCTGCAAGGTGCTGCAGCAGCCGCTGTAATTTGCACCTTCCTAAGTGGAGACAGAAGAGCTGTCGACATGCACAGGCAGCTAGGAGCCTGGAGATAATGACAGGAGCAGAGGAAGGGCCCCGCTGGGGAAATAAGCAGTCAGCCGGCATGAAGGCCTCCAAGGAAAAACCCGAGAAAGGGCAAAGTGAAAATCCAGGGACCTCTAAACCACCCCTGCAAGAGACTCCATTTAGATAAATTAGAGGGGGCTGCAGGCTCGCTGTCTGGCTCAGCGCAGCGTTGTTCTTTGTCTTTTTACTTTGGGTAGTTCTGGCTAGCTCCCCAAGGCACCATTAGCGATCTGGGGGTGGGGGCAGACCCTCAGTTACCCCGCGTTATCTGGAAGCTCAGGTGATGACAGCAACCGCCGCTGAGTGAGATATCAAATATTAAAGGCAAGCAGAGCCGGGAGTGTAGAACCATTGGTGGTCTGCTTGCCTCGCACGGATGATAGCCTGAGCTTGATCTCACTATATAAAAAGGGCATGGTGACACACGCCTGAAATCTCAGGACTGCGGGGGAGGGGGTGGGGGGGCAGTGTAAGGAAATGAGTCAGAAGCTCAAGGTCATCATCCTTTGCTCCATAGCAAGCTAGAGGCTAGCCTGGATGGCATGAGACCCTGCCTCAAAAAATAAAAAGAGATTGCTTGGCAGTTAGGAGCACTTGCTGCTCTTCCAGAGGACTGGTCTTTGGTTCCCAGCGCCCACATTAGGTGGCTCACAATCACCTGTAACTCCAGCTCCAGGGACTCCAAGGCCCTCTTCTGGCCTCCGTATGCACCCACACACATGTGCATGCACACAAACTCATAAACACACATATACTCACATACTCACAGACAAAGTTATACACACACATATCAATAATAAAGTAAACTTAAAATTCATAAGTAAAAATAAAATAAATAAATATAAAAGTTTGGCAGCATATCTCTAAAACTTTTTGAGAACCTCCAGTTTCACTTTAAAGTTGGTGAAAACCCTTGTGTGTAACACAAAGAAAAAGCCAGTGTGTGGTAACAACTGACTCTGAAGGGGAGGATGTGATCAAAATGGTTGGCTTCCTACCCAGCCAACACACATTTCATATAGATCCCCTCAGAAGTTGCCATTCCAGTCAGAACCAGAAGGAACAGGCCATCCATGTCCAGAGCTCTCCTGGTACCCTGGCTCCCTCGGTTTTTGTGTCTCGTGGTGGCTGCGGAAATTTCACAGCTAACTCTCTGTAGCTGTACTTCTCCACAGAGATCGCTCTGCTGGCAAAGTCTGAATGCCCCTCCTTCAGATCCATCCTCACAGAGCAGCAGAAGCAGGGGACGCCCGTAGGTGCACCTGCTCCATCTACTAGCTGAGTAAGCTGAGCAGAGATATTCAGTTTCTCACATTCAGCACTGAAAGGTTATTCAACCCACCTCATAACTTTTCATGGAGATTCTGATAAAGGGCTGGATCCAGGACTCAGAGTGAGGTCACGAAGCCTTCCCCTTCCTCACGGTGCCTCTTAGAGCTGGAGTCTGAGGACTTGACTTTTCTTTCAGATGGTTTGTCCCACCGCCGCTGCTGGCCCTAAGTTCCTCGCCATTACCTTTCTCCAGCTGGAATGATGCCCATCCTATCCATGCTTAACTAGGTGCCCTCATACTTCCAGAGCTGCTTCTGGATACCTCTTCCCTGGATGGCCTAACTTCACATTTACTTTCTGTACTCCTATTGCAGTGGTTGTCCTTAGATTAAGGACAACTTCCCAGACCAAGTCTAAACCCTGAATCTTCCTACAGCCATTCTAAAATTTGATTGCAGAAGTCATGTGTTTCCTATGGGTTACATAACTTTTCTTTAGTTATGTAACTAAGTTTCATTAGTTACTAACACTAACAACAGACCAAAGAATATGTCACCCAAGCCTAGCTTTGTGAACCAATAAAATGTAGGGATTACTTACAGGAGCATGGGTCAAAGGCAGCTACATTATCAGGAATCCATCCTAGTGTGGGTTACAACTCACGAAAGCTGTATCCCTGGTATTATCTACACAACTTGCAGTGAACTCCACCAAAGAGAATCTCCTGCCCCGACAATTGTTCACTACATTTATAACCATGGAGAGGGGTCTTGGGACTCTTGAAACGTTCTGAGCTTCCTGAACCTTATGTGTTTCCTATGCCTTCTGAGTCTCATGTGTTTCTTGAGTTTCCTGAGCCTTGAATGTTTCATGAGCTCCTGAGCCTTTGGAGTTTCCTTCTTCCTTCTAGGAGGAAATGTGTTTCCATTCAAAAGAAACATCTGCTTGATGAACCCTTTCTTCTCCACGCTAAGTGTCTATGGGTCCTTCTACTCTTCTTCATGTGCTCAAACCTAAGGACAAGCCAGCACACACACCCTAGCTGATTATTACATTTATGACCAATGATCTCTTATCCTGAACTAAACACATCCATGGACTTAATGTAGCCAATCTACAGGAGAGCCTTAGAATTTGCTTTCCAAATTAGAATCTAGAACCCATTCTTTTTTTGATTCAGCCAAATTTTACTCTTAACTCCCAAAACACTTGTAATTAATTGAAATACAATGCCCTTATCCTTGGGAGGAAGAAGTTTGTATGCTATTATCAGATCTATCATACATTTTGGTGATGGCACAGTAAATGGTATGTTATTTCCAAGTATAAAAGTTAGGTATTTGTTTCTTCTAAGCTTTATCTAGTTAGGTAAAAGCCATCATTTCAGCCTTTCAACATCCTTTTGATTTATGCTCTTTTTATTTCCTGTATAGCCACCTCTTTCTATTAAATAGCATGTGATACTGGCCAATGAACTGTTGATATTAGTCTTAGTTGGGGTTACTATTACTATGATAAAACACCATGACCAAAGCAACTTGAAGGGGAAAAGATTTATTTGGCTTATACTTCCACATCACTGTTCATCATCAAAGGAAGTCAGGACAGGAACTCAAACAGGGTAGGAACTTGGAGGTAGAAGCCAATGTAGAGACCATGGAGGAGGGCTACTTACTGCCTTGCTCCTCATGGCTTGCTCAGCCTGCTTTCTTATAGAACCCAGGACCACCAGCCCAGGGATGGCACCCTCCACAACAGGCTGGGCCCTCCCATATCAACCACTAATTAAGAAAATGCTCTACAGGCTTGCCTACAGCCCACCCAGTCTTGTGGAAGCATTTTCTCAGTTGAGGCGCCTTCTTCTCTGATGACTCTGGCTGGTTACAAGTTGACAAAATTAGCACAATTTTTATCCAAACCAATAATTAAATGTAGTTTTAGATTTATATCACCAAAATTCCCCCACTGGAGTCAATTCCCATCCATCAAACAAATTCTACCCACTGTTCATCTTCTAATACACATACTTTTGAAATACTACTTATACTTTTGCAAGTCTGCATATATCTAGCCTGACCATAAAAATGTCATTAGAGACATCACAGAATTCTTTGCTGAAATGTAAATCTTCTGTCAGTACCCCCTAACTTAATAGACTCTTATTCCAATCTGAAAATGAATAAGTTGATTTAGAGTCAGAGAAAATTTTGGTGTGGGGAGAAACACACCTTTATGTCCCCAAAGCCCTACTAGTCCACCTCTTGATCCTACTCCTTGATGGCATCCAAGGTAGTTGGTTTTGTGATGTTTGTGTTTTTGTGGTGACCCACTGAGGCTTCAAACTCAGTCTCAGGTGTTGAAATTCTGTCTTCAGAGCCTAAGCCAATGTTCTGAGATTTGAATGCCTTCTTGTGTTGAGCATTTAGGAAGGAAACTAGAGGGGATCGCTCAGTACACTTACTGTAAACTGTTCCTGTCCTCATGTCCTGTGTGCCGGACAGACCTCAGTTCCTGGGAAAAGCACGCTTTCCCTTCCAACCTCAACTCCACTTCCCAACACTCTGATGTTTGTACTTCTGTGCAGTCTTAGTCCTCAAAAGATTGTCTTTCTTTCTTCTTGAAAAAGAGAACTTTGGGGGCCTCCTGGAGTAGAGGGAGAGCAGAGGAAGCAAACTGCTTTTCATTTTACTGAGTCACTCAATTTGACATTATCTGCAAATAGGAAGGTGTGTTAGTTTCTCCTGGCCTAAACACATGCTGCTGTCACAAATGCCAGAGGCCAGCACCTTCCTGTCTTCCTTGGCCCCAAGTTGCCCTGCTCCTGGGATGTTCATTTCAAGTGACCCTCTGCTAATTCTAGAAAGAATACCCTTCCGTGCCTTGGAGGAATAAAGGGGGGGGGGTCTAAAAAATCAAACTCACTGTCCTTATACATCAGCTACAGTCAACTATGACTTCCCAAAGTCTAAGACAATAAAGGGGATGTTTTAGCAGAAATGAAGAAAAAAAATTGGTTTTCTCTCTACATTTCAGCCTGAAAGTTTTGTGTACGGGGGTTCTAGTTCCTGTGCTAATAACAGAATGCAAAGGTAAGAGTGGACTAAACCTCCTGTGAGCAAGAAGCGGGTATGTACAGTCCTGGCTCACAGGAAACTGCAAATCTCCACTCTGCTTTGCAGTAGCAACTATCTAGGACCTGAAGCATACTTTGACTATGTTTCTAAGAGGTACAATAATCCCACGTTTCTCAAGGAATTGTAGGATGCAGCTCTGGTGGTTGACTGACAGGTACCTCACAGTCTCTGAAAGGTGGCATGCCTTTCTGCAGAACCTGCTATGAAACAGGACACCAGTATCTTCCAGGCTTGCTAGTTTATGCTTTACAACTTTGAAATAACCAGGAAAATGGTAGATAATCCATCTTTTTGATTTGTGGCCTTCATGACACCAAATGTTAGGAGTCATACTTCCTCTGAGCCACAATGTTTTTGATGTTGAGTAATTACAACCACATTCTAAGATTAATCATAATAAACCTTTGATTTTCAGGCTAGATTTTAGGGATAGAAATGACAATTCCAATTTATTTAATGTCCCTGAAACTCAGGAACTGTGATAAATGGATACAAATAAAGATGCCATCCTTAACATTATCGCACATTAGGATAGGTGGCTAACATTTTCACATGAAGGCGTCTCTTTTTACCGTTGCCTTTAGAAAGCAAACACCCTCAGTCTTGTTTCATTAATCCTTAGACAAAGAGCCACAAGTTAGCATGCAGCACACACTGAAACAGAAACACAGATTCGGCTCTTCCAGCGTTCTGCCTCTTTGTCATCGGGCAAGCACGTGTTATAGGTCAAGAGCTATTTAAATCACACCTGCACATTTTAGACCTGCCTCCCTTTGTAAGAGAGCAAAGCATCTAATAAGGACAATGAGATTTCATTAGCATCTTTCTTAAGGGATTAATAAATGTCATGGTACATAATAATGTACATCAATTATGTATGTGGATTTAATTCTGGTCATGCATCTTTGGAAAGCCAGCGGGTCCCTAAGACAGTGATGAAAAGATGTAGCCTGTCAGAACAGAAGCCTGGCACAAGCTAGCAGCCAGCATTGCCCTGCCCTGCCTACTGCTTACCATTTGATTGCATTAGAGCTGAAGGAGGAGGCTTATTGGATTTTATTTGCTCTTTGGGATTAATGTTCTTGGCTCCAGGGAATGGGGGAAGGGAGTTGGTTATCCCTTCCACTGAGCTAACCAAGCTCCTGTCCACACATCTACAGACAAATGAGGCTAGAATGGGAAAACTTGTGTCCCACCTAATGAACCCATCTGCAGCTCTTCTCTGAGTGGACCAGAAGCTGAGCCCTGACATTAGCATCAGCTCTTGGAATGGGCTGGCTGAGCAGCACCCTTCCTGTGATGGGAAATGGAATCAGGGGACAGCTCTCCAATCTCATTTCAGTCTGATTTTACAAGAACTGTGAAAAACCTCCCCGGGCAATGATCTCAGACCTTCATCCCACTTAGTCTACTATGTACCACAAACTCAGAGCCTTGTGCTGGAGGCCCGTGGAGTGTGTAGACAGCGGTGGATACACAGCACTAATCCATAGGTGTTGATATCAGTGCAATACAATCTGTAAAAGATAAGACCATCTTCAGTGAGATAGACCAGTTTCTAAGTGATAATGATAGCTCTGCAAATAATTCACACTGCTGTGTTTCATCTCCATACACTGTCTCTCCCTCCTTTTTTAAGGCCATGTTCCCCCTCTCTATACCTTAAAAAGCAACAAATCTTGACTATAGTTAGTTGAATGATATTTAATTCCCCTGTACTTGATCCTTACAACCAAACAAGTGTCTTTATGGAAGACATTATTTTAGAGCCTTTGGGGAACACAGAGCTATGACATTCAGTTCTTGATCTTAAAAAAGCTTTTGTCTATTAGAGGTCCAAATCAGGTATCTGGCCCATCCAAGAGAGAAAGACTATGCCTGGGCCAAGTGGCTAGAATGGAGTAGAATCTTAGAGGAAGCCATTACAAACTCCCTTTCTGAGAGCCCAAGGCCTGTGCTGTTCTGAAGTGATGGGTAATGTCAGGTACTGAGTGTGGGGGGAGGGGAGAGGGTGGGGTCCATAACAGCAGAATAGAGGCTACTAAACCTGATAGGGGCCAGCAAGTTCCTCTCCAACACTGTTCCCCCAAATCATATGAGGACCTATGTCATAATTTTAACCATTGTCAATGATATTGTTACCATTTCTGATGACCCACTTGAGGATTAATTACTTGTATTTCCCCTTAAATGGAATCACAATCTTAATTTAAATATGTTGCTATAATAAAGAAAGAAACTATTAAAAGGAAAATTTTGTAAGCTACCGTGATATGAAATTACTAGAATTGCATGCTGTCCCAGTTGGGATAATGGCAAAAATACATGCTATGGAAATACAATGAAATTTGGTACCATGGCCTTCCATAGGATCCAGGTCTGATGTCAATCTCTCTGTTAGAAAAAAAACAATATTAAGTATTAGTCGTGTGAAGAGAGCATCCCAGCCCTGGGACCTTCTTTTTGAAAATCTAATGGGAATTGAGAAGAGAATAACATCTCACCATGTAATTAGATGGTATTAATTCCCAGTCTGTGAATTGCCAAAATCACTGTCTCCAGTGGGACACATTCCACCCCAGAACAGAGGGAAGAGCAGACAGTACTTTGGGACCAGCTCTTCCTATGGCTTCTGTGGGACAATTGTGAACCTCATTAGGACTGTGAACAAGGATGACCATTTGTCTAGGCCCCACATATCCTAAAAAGGGCGACTTTCACAGGAGCTCCCACAGACAGGACCACACAGCAGATATCTACAGGAAGTCAGACATACTGTCACAGTAAGATCTCTCGGCTCTGGTCAGTAAAAGTGTAAACAATTAAGTGGTTTTTGTTTTGTTTTGTTTTCATATAATCACATCCCTCCCACCAAAGAGGGAGGATAGAAAGAAAATCTATAGGAAATTTAAAAGTCTAAAAGCCAATAAAATCGTGTGTGAGTAGATCCTACGGGAAACCCAGGAAAAATATGTAAGTGGATCAAAGCCCTCAGAGGAAAAGGAGAAATCTCTGCTGGGAAACATTATCTGATGCCCCTGGGACAGGTGCTCACATGTGTCCCTGAGCTTCCAGCACATTCTACCCCCTGTGGAGCTGCTTCTTCCCCTGTGTTTCCTGCTCAGGGCTCCTGTCTCTTTTCACTTCTCCTGACCCTCCTGCCTTGTCACTGGTGCGCAGTGACTGAGTGACAGAGCGCAGAGAATGAAGGCTAATGCACACTAATGCACCTGCTGCCTCCCCCAGAGGACTCTTGGGAGCATTTATTTCACTTTAAAGTTTCGAGAAGAATTGCACTGATATTTTAAGTGGACTATATTCCATGCCCCAAACCACTTTAAAGATAAGAAATTAGAGGACTAATCATATTTTGACAATTTAATTCCAGAAGTGACTCACCGCATTTCTAATCTGCATTCTGTAAAGCAGATTTTTCCCCAGGAATTGCATTGGCCAAGGCATCTGCACACACAAAGTAGCATCTTGCCATGTGTAATCATACATATTTTCATGTATGATTCCAGTATGAGACATCTGATGGATTTTATCACTTAACATAATTTAATTGTAACAAACTCAGATGTGCTAAAGTGACAGATATGCTGTACTATCTAATATTCTTGAGAAATATGGAATCTTACGGGGCATGATGGGGCACATCTGTAATCCCAGCACTTGCCTGAGAGAGGGGAAGTGAGTTCAAGGCCAATCTTGACTACATAATGAGACTATTAAAAAAAAAAAACAACTGAGGCTGGGGATGTGCTTTAGTGTAGCATGCTTGCTTAGGTCTCTCTCTCTCTCCTTCTCTCTCTCCCTCTCTCTCTCTCTCTCTTTCTCTCTCTGTCTAATATACACAGAGAGAGGGGGAGGGAGGGAGGGAGGGAGGGAGGGAGGGAGGGAGGGAGAGAGACTTGTTTAGACAAGCATTTTCACAACTTGCTGGAGCTGTCCGTGACATCAGAGCCATGGGCTCTGACAGCAGCTAGCCTCATTTTTGAAAATCACATTGTTGACTTGAGTGCTAATGAAGTTCTCAAAGCCATCTGAGTTTTTTCTATAAGCCTCATCATATCATTTCTATGGAGCCTCTGACTAGAGTCGACAAATAATCTCCACAGATGTAAATCGAACTCCTTTTTTAGAAAGCTGAGACTAACACAAATCATTTGTCTTCCCTATTTCTTATGGGAAACATGTATCCATTGACAAAGGCTTCAACAGAAATGGAAATGAGCCTCAGTGTGCTCATCTGTGAAGTGGGGGTGGATCCTATCCAACCCAGATGGTTTGTGTCTATTAAATATGTAATGGTTTCCATAGGCTCATGTGTTTGAACACATGGTCCCCAGGTGGGAGAGGGTTTTGAAATTGGGCCTGGCTGAAGGAAAGCTTTGATGTTTCTTAGCCCCGCCCGAGTTTATGTCTGTCACCTGCTTCCTAATCAGGAACACAGTGTAACCAAGTCTTCCTCATCTCTGCCACCATGCTTTCCCCACCATGATGGGTTGTAACCCCTCAAACTATGAACCAAAATAATCCCTTCTTCTCTTAAATTGCTTCCTGCCGGCTTGCTGGTTGATCATAGCAACAAGAAAAGTAACTAATACAATGTAAGTCAGCTTTCTGTAACTGTACCAAATGCCTGGGGTGAAGCATGTTAGAAGGAAGAAAGGTTAATTTGGCTCTTAGTGGCAGAGCTTTCAATATGTTGTCACTTCACCCAATCATTTTGGACCTGAAGGAACACAGCAAATCATGATGGATCACATGGTAGAGAAAGTCTTTTCATCCTGTGGTCTAAGAAGTGTGTGAGGAGGGTATAGGAAAAGGACAGCATCCAATATCTCTTCAAGGATGCCCCCAATGACCTAACTTCTAAAGATCACTTCTCCTCCCAATAGTGCTGCAGGCTAGGGACAAAGATATATATATATATTACACCCTGGCCGCAGTTTCTCCTCTCTCCTCTCCTCCTAGTCCTCTCCCCGACCTCAACCCCTTGTTCCTACCCCCACCCCCAATCCACTCCTTCTCCATTTTTGTTTAGGAAAGGACAGGTCTCCCTTGAATATCAACAAAAACATGGCATATCAAGTTGCAGTGAGACTAAGCACCTCCCCATGTATTAAGGCTGGGCAAGGTGACCCAGTATGGGGAGTAGGGTCCCATAAACCAGTAAAAGAGTCGGAGACAGCCCCTGCTCCCGCTTTCAGGAGTCCCATAAGAGGACCAAGCTACACAACTGTAACATATATGCAGAGTGCCTATGTCAGTCCCATGCAGGCTCCCTGGTTGTCAGTTCAGTCTCTGTGAGCTCCTATGAGCCCAGGTTAGTTGATTCTGTGCGTTTCCCTGTGGTGTCCTTGACCCCTCTGGCTCCTACAATCCTTTCTCCCCCTCTTCTGCAGGACTCCCAGAACTCTGCTTAATGTCTGGTTGTGGGTCTGCATCTGTTTCCATCAGCTGCTGGATGAAGACTCTGATGACGGTTGGGCTGGGTACCAGTCAGGGGACCATGCTTTCGCATACATAGGCCTTTAGAGCACATTCTATATACACACTAGCAGAACTTCAAGGAAATTTGCTAAGAAACTATATTAAAACAGCCCAGCATAGAACCCCACCCATGGTCTAACCTTAGAACATAGTAGTGATGCAGCTCTTTGAGAATAAAGGAGGCATCTCTTGGTCCAGACAGGCTTGTCCTAGGGACCAGGCTGCAGGACCGTCAGTAATCACCAAATGTCAGTCTGAGACAGTGGCTCTCATCTTTATCTCCTGTCAATGAAGAATAAAGATGTGGACAAAGAATGAGGCAGGTTTATTGAGAACAGTGAGATTTAAGAGAGATGCTCGAAGAAGAGTTGACATCTGAAGGGAGAGAAGCCCACAAGGCTGCACTCTAGGCACCTTCTACCACAATGGCAGAAACTGGATAGGAAAAGAGGTGGTCTCCATGGAGACTGGTCAGGTCTGTGGCCATATCCTCGCTGAGACGATGGGGGCCCTAATGCTCTGTGCCTGTCCCACTAGCCCAGCCAGGGAACTGCATGCTGTTCACGTGCTCCTCCTTCAGTTAGAGCAGTGGTCACATGTTGGAGCGCCTCTCCGCCCATCCCTTCCTTGTTCTGTTAACCACTGCCCTTGGCTCATCTGCAGACGATGAGCCCTGACCAACACTGCTAGTCACTGAGCCAGTATCCTGCCAGCTATGAAATAAATGATGCTCTTTGTTTTCATGTTTATGTGGCCAGCTTGGAGTTTTACCACGGGCCTTTCCCAGTTAATGTCATTAAGAGCGCTAACTCCAGCTACAGTCTGATAATGTTGCCATTATCACTTGGTCCATGGTGTGTGTGTGTGTGCGGGGGAGCGGCTATCTACTCCTAAAGGATCAAGAGTATCTATCGCACACCATTCAGAGGAACTGTTCCTAGCTAAAGAGGCTTGAGAAAAGACCATGTCAACCAGATTTGAAACATTTGGATTTTTGAAATCTTTCAATCTCCTTTCAGGAAAAATAAAAGAATTGAACTTTGGAAATTTCCCAGAAAAGAAAAACGTTGAAGAAGTGAATGAAAGAGTCCCAAAGAAAAGGGAAGCATGAAAAAAGAACATCTCCCATAGCCTGCTCCCCCCATCAGCCCCAAACCTTCGCCCATGTGGCTGACACATCTCCAATGCTCACTATGCTCAGCTGGGGACCCAGAGCCTCAGCTGCTACCACGGTTCCACTAACAATATCAGAAGCCTACTTCTAGGCACCCTCCACCCGCTAGGGTGTGGTGTCCCTGGCCCTGGGGTCATGTCTTTAAACAGTTAAATGGAGAGCCCTCTGATAGGGAGAGCTCTGAAACTGTTCTCTTTGGTCTGTGTGGTAGGAAAGGCCACCTTCGTAAAGTTTGAAAACCTGTGTCAAGGACCACGTGAAATTCAACTGAAGTCAGAGTGCCCCGTCCACTAAGCTAGATGTAGTGGCTCACTCCTTTAATCTCGATATTTGGGAGGTTGAAACAGGAAAGTCCAGATGAGCCTGGACTAAAATTTAAAAATGAAAAGCTCCCCACTCCCTACTCAGATCTCTACAGAAGAAACAAAACCAAAACCAGTTAGTTCTCTGTCGGTAATATCAGCTTTGGCATGGGGAAGGGAGAACAGAGGAGCCAGCAGGGAGGGCAGTACTTTATCCAGGTCCACAGCATGATCTGACCTCAGCTGTGTGGCAAAAAGAAGAATCTGTAGCCAGAGGGCTTTCAGGGGTCTGAGGATGGGGGTGGTCATGCCAGCACCTGCTCAGAACAGTTGCTACACTGCCTCTCTAGTTATCTTTCCAACGCGGCCCTCACAAAAGCCCTCTGAAGTTTCAACATCTTTGCTTTTTCTGCTGAAATGAAAACATTCAATTCGGCCTTCAAGGCCCGACCCAGTCTAGCCTCGAGCTGTAGCCTCAGCAGATTCCCACAGTTCCCGGAACATAACACAGCCAGCCTGGAGTTCCATTTCCTTTCAACCTCAGCGGCTCCTTCTGCTGCAATCCCCAGCTGAAATGGCTTCTCTGGTCTACCAAAAACTTTGATGCTGTTACCAAATGCGGGGTTTGTTTTTTCAGATCAAAAATCTTTCTGGGTTAGAGATGTGAGGGCAGATGGCCTTAAGCACTTAAGGATTCCATCAGCATTAGTCTGCTGGGTCCAAAAGCAGAGATAGGAAGCCAGAAAGAAAGACAGTCTCTGCCTTGACTGACAAGCAGTGCCCAGTTACCGCACATGGGTGCACTGGAGCTGCCTGAACCCAGGCTCACCCTTGAGCTGAGAGTTTATGGGAAGATGTTGACCATACAAATGGGGGGAAGGTGGTGATTCATAAATGTACCTGAATAGTGTGACTTAACTGGGAATATTTCCTGACTTTCAAACCCTCCGTCTGATACTAACAGAGATTCCATGAACCTTGGAATTCCAAGCGTATTGCTTATCAGAAAAAGAAAATGCAAAGCTCTCAGTTATGAAAAGTCTCTTTTCTTCTTTCTTTCTTCTTTCATTCCTTTTCTTTCAAAATAAAGGCTCCTTAAGGAGAAATTAAAAGAGAATAGGAGAGCGAAGCAGACATATTTGTGTAATATGTCTAAAATAGTCAGAGATCAGGGAAAACAGGAAGGAAAGCCAGTCGGATCCAGTGTGTGCCGTGAGCTGCCAGGACACCTCCTGTAGCTTCAGGAGAACTGTGAGTGCCTCTGCTGTGGTCGTTGTGATCTCAAATGCAGTCTTCTTCTCTTCTTCTCGCCCTCCCATGTTCTCTAGCAAAACGACATTTATTAAAGTCTGAAGCCCCGAGGCACAGGATATCTGAATATCTCATCTCCAAAAACACGACAGTCCAAGCTGGAACTGAACAAAGAGCTCAGGACACAGGCACTGCGGGACCGGCCTGTTCTCCAACAGAATACAGTGAATGGGCCTGGATTCTTATTTTCTCTTTCTTTTCTTTCTAGAAACGGGAAAAATCGACCAAGAAATTCACAAATACAACACCCCAGGCTTCACAGGCTGCCTGTCCAGAGTCCAGTTCAACCACATCGCACCTCTCAAGGCAGCCTTGAGACAGACAAACGCCTCGGCCCACGTGCACATCCAGGGCGAGCTGGTGGAGTCCAACTGTGGGGCCTCCCCACTGACACTTTCCCCCATGTCTTCGGCCACTGACCCTTGGCACCTAGATCACTTGGATTCAGGTAAAGTCTGGAGCTGTCTTGGGCTGATTGCGTCATTCCTTTCAACCTCACTTTCCTCAGCTGTAGAATGGGTTGATCATGGACCCTGGCTGACACTGTTGCTGGAGGATTAAGACATGGGAGGAAGGAAATGGTGAACCACGAGTTCTCAGTGTAATGCTTGGCACCTAGGAAGGGCAAAAGTGTTATTTCTACTCAAAAGCAGAAACAGAGAAGTCAGAGGTTAAGAGTATAGGGATGAAGACTCTCTCTTCATGTAGGTTAAGAGATGCCCACGCTGCTGTCTGCAACATGGCTATGGATGACTTGGACAAATCACTTCCTCACTTTTGCCCACTTTCTCTCCAAAACAGTACAGAGATTCACCTCCCATCAGGATCACAGACTGCAGAATCTGAAAGAGCTACATTTAAGCTTATAACACCCCGTCTATGGCCATACCATCCTGCATGCTCCTGAGCTCATCTAAACTTAGACAGCCCTGTGGGTTTGGCCCCGTTTCTACAGGTGATAAGACGTGCAGTTTGAAAGCACTGGGCTGAAATGAAAGGAAGTGGTATTTTTTTTTTTTAAAGATTTATTTATTATGCATACAATGTTCTGCCTGCATGTGTTCCTACAGGCCAGAAGAGGGCACCAGATCTCATTACAGATGGTTGTGAGCTACCGTGTGGGTCCTGGGAACTGAACTCTGGAAAAACAGTCAGTGCTCTTAACCTCTGAGCCATCTCTCCAGCCCAGGAAGTGGTATTGGTAGTGAAGTTAATTAGATGAAAACTCAATGTCTCTAAAGGAAGCCTAGTGAACTACATTTCTGCTCTCAGCTCTACATGGCTGACCACGGCAGCACAGATAACCCACCTAAACCATTGTCTTTTCATCCGTAAGGTGGAGATGGAGAAGTGGTGTGTAAATTTCCCAGTGCAATCAATGGGTCTCCAAGCAACCCCAACTGACTGGGGATGTTAATGACCCTTAAAACAGTAAGAATTCACAAGACAGGACAACATGGGAGTAAAGCCCAAATTCCAACCCCATCATTGCTTCTTACCAGCAGATTAAACTCAAGTAGCTGCCGTAACCTCATTCCTCAGTTTCTCCATTCCTAAAATAGGGACACTGAGGTGTAAGTCACAAGAATTCCACATGAGATGATGTACTCAGTGGTTGAGAGTACTTGCTGCTCTTACAGAGAAGCAGTGTTCAATTCCCAGCACCCAGTGGTGGCTCACAACCGTCTATAGTCCAGTTCCAGGGCATCTGAAACCCTCTTCTGGCCTCTGGGGCACTGCGTACGTGTGGTACACATATTAGCTACAGAAAACACTCACACACATAAAATATAAAATATATTTTAAAAATTGTAACTTGACACAAGCATAGATTCATAGCAAGCTTGTAAATATTTAGTTGTCACAATATTAATATTGTCATCATGGTTATGACATTAGACCATTTGCTGTAGCTTAAGAATGTCCACTGAAAGCTTCCAAATCTCTCTCTATCTCTCTCTATCTCTCTCTCTCTCTCTCTCTCTCTCTCTCTCTCACACACACACACACACACACACACACACACACACACACACGAAGAGATAGACTCCAATTTCTAACAACTCATCATACAGTAGTGGACAGTAGTGCACACTGGATTGATTTAATCACCTCGCGGTCCTATGCCAGTATTAAGCTTCAGAGCAGCCAGAGCTGTGGTGATTCTTACTAGGACTGTCCCTGGGAGATTTGTGAAGCTTAAAAAGAAGCCAGAACTGTTCCATTGTCAGGATAGCCGACTGACAGACTACACAGCCCTCTTTGTTCCTCACTTCTGGATGCCTATAACATGATAAGAGCACCGTGTGCCTGGGGCGCTCACAGCAACTCCCTTTCCTGAGTGTTGTTAAGGGCACCCAGCAGACTGGGCCTTCCTCCTGAGCTGGCTTGAACAAAGAAAGCATTCCTGCGGCAGAAGGAAGAGAAGAGGGATGGAAAGTGTGAGAGGAGAAAAGACACGTGTCAGGAGTCTCAGACGAATTCCTGCACCTGTGAGGGTGGACAGCTGGTGAACCGCCTTTAAAGGCACGAGGTCTGGGGTGCTGCAGGTAGATACTGCAAGCAGCAGCTATGAGGAGCTGTGAGCAGCTATGAGCATGTGTGCACACTGCCAAGAAATTGGATTCCAAACATATCTAACGCTTCCCTGGGCCAAGATGAGCTCATATTCATTATGGCTTAATTAGCCAATTGTTTGCTTTTAAGGTCTGTGAAATGCAGTTGTAGAGACCAAGCCATTTTAGTTCGTAGATTTTTTAAAAATGCTTTATTCATGACAGCTTCCTTCTTCTGATTGATTCATGCAAATGCATACAGTTTAGAAAACATTTCTGTTGGGTTCAACACTCAAATTCTGATTCCAAGTCAGCACAAACCTGTAATGGTAGCACTTAGGCAAGAGGATTCCAAGTTCAAGGTCAGCCTGGGTTACATAGCAGGACCCTGTCAGAAAGGAAAAAAGAAAGGCTGGAGGGAAGGGGAGGGAGGGAGGGAGGGAGACAGGCAGGCAGGCAAAGAAGCCAGACAGGATTTAAATCCAACCATGAACCATTTCTATAATTTGGGAAATACCTTTTGCTGTTAAATGTCAGTCTTGTGATCTCTATTAGAAGGAAGAGTGGAATACTTCCTTCAAACTGTGAAACAGATGCTTATTTAGGTAACATGATTCCATTTTATTCTTTTAAATAACTGGGAACAGGAGAGGGGTACAGGGTAAGAGAGAAGAAGGGACAGAGAGAAGCCAGGGTGAGAGGTGACTTCACAGCAGCCTCCGATGAGACAGTGGAGGGAGGAAAAGCATGTCCCAAAGAGAGAAGTATGGCTGTCTTGTCCTCCAGAATTCTCCACCTTTTCTCAGAAATAGAAGCTCTAATTAGGTTTCCTTCTAAATCTACTGCACTCTAAATGTCTTCCACTTAAAAATAATTTGTGGAACTCAGCGGGAAGTGGTGGCACACGCCTTTAATCCCAGCACTCGGGAGGCAGAGCCAGGCGGACCTCTGTGAGTTCAAGGACAGCCTGGGCTACAGAGCGAGATCCAGGAAAGGCACAAAGCTGCACAGAGAAACCCTGTCTCGAAAAACAAAAACAAAAAAATAAATTGTGGAACTCCAGTGATGGCTTGTTCAATAAAATGTTTGCCATGCAAGCATGAGGACCTGAGTTCGATCCCCGGCATACACACACACACACACACACACACACACACACACACACACACACACACACACACAGAGCCAGGTGTGGCGGCATGCATCTATAATCTTAAATGAGAGGAGGTGAAAACAGGGTGATCTCAGGCTAGTCTAGCGGAATCAGTGAGCTCCAGGATCCGTGAGAGACCCCGCCTCAGGAATTAAAATGGAGAGTAACTAAGGAAGACATCTGATGTTGACCTCTGAACTCAGACACACACACAGAGAAAGAGAGAGAGAGACAGACAGACAGACAGAGACAGAGATTTTAATTTAATTTATAAATTTGATACTAACTCTGGGATTCCAAATGGATCCTCACGCCAGCAACCACACCCTTGTTTCTGCTTGTCTACACTCATCATTCTGAGTTCTGAGTCAAGGGCTTTGAATGGTCAAGATATCCCCCAAGCATGAATAGAGAGATAATTCTTGCTATGAGATATTAAAAAAGAAAGCAATAGAATTCACACAAAAATAATGTTTTCTTCTATGAATAATGTGAGGGTGGGACTGGTGTTTGGGACAGAAAGAGAATAAAGGTGAACACTGGCCATCTCTGGCCTGAGATGTCTTAACTAATTTGTTTCATGGAGGGACTTTGGAGTATGCCTCAAATCACCCGGAAGCTTGTTGGAGAGGAGGAATCCTATTAGGAGGGACCAAAGCACCTCCATTTCATCCTAGGAATCCTAGGATTCCTAGGTGGCTTGCCACATGTACAAGAAAGTCTTTCAGTGTTCGTCTGGTATTGATCTCCACCTCTGGGGCACTTTAGAATTACTGGGGTATCAATGTGGATTCTGTGCCTCTGAACAATGAAAGCAAATGAGGACAGCATGCTAGTGTCTGTAGATAAAACCTCAAGAGATTCCAGTATATAGCAAGGTTCCTGGAAGAGCACTTGAAAGTACACTATTAAAAGAAACAAGACAGTGCTGGGGTTCTGCTTTAGGGGCAGAACACATGCCTGGGATGTGCAATGCCCGGGTTTAATCTCCAGCCCCAAAAGAAAAACTAAAAATAAAGTAGCTAATCTTCTTTGTCAACTTGACTTGGTTTAGAATCACCTAGGAGACACACCTCTGGGTATGTCTGAGGGTATTTACGAAGAGGTTGAATGGAATGGAAGAGGGAGCACCCATCTTAAACATGGGTGGTATCCTCCCATGGACCGGGGTCCTGGACTAACGGAAAAGGAGAAAGAGAACTGGGCACCAGACTCCTCTGCTGCCTGAGTGCAGATGCAGGGTGCCGCTCCCTCCCGCTGCGCCGCCCATCCTTCAAGCCCTTCCTTCCTTAGCTGCTTTTGCGGGCCTTTTGCCGCAGCAATGAGGAAAGTCGTTGTTAATCGGCCCTTGGAACTGTTTTCTGAACAGCCGTTATCAGCTAGAAAAACCAACCCCGGTCTGTCTGATTTGAAGGGTCACAGGGTACAGTTGCTGTGACTCACCTCTCAGGATTGTTGGGTCTGGTGTTTTTCTCTCGGTCACATTCGGAATCTTACTTCCTTGGAATGGGAAAGACTTGCCAGCCAAGAGATGGCTACAGATGGCGCCCGCACCGTCTGTAAAACACAAAGGCAAAACAAACAGCAGAAAGCAGGAGTCCAAGAGTCAGCTATCACCCGTCTCTGTGCATGCCAAGCTGTGTGTGCACTCCCAGGGAGCCTTGGGAGTCTGCTCCCATTCATGGTGTTTGACACACAATGAACTGGACCAAAGGCAATTCTTTCAGAAGATCCTTGCAGCAGACGAGCTTCATTCCTACAGGTCTTCTGGTTAGAAGGATGATGATTCTCACTGTTTCACAGGACTTGACTGCATTCTGCAAACACTCTTGGCATAATTCACACAGTGAAACATTAACCTCAAAAAAAAAACCCTGCCTTTGGAAGGCATTAATAGCTGAATTCTCAGTAGCCACTGTAACCCTGAGCTGTCTGGCTCCTAGACCTTAAATGAGTCAGATCTGACACTCTGCCATCCTTACCAGAAATCCTCACAGACCCTCCATAGTGGAGTAGGTGAGAAATCAGAAATAAGGAAGCATGGGCAGATAGAAAGATAGTAACACACAATTCTCATGCCCAACCCAAGGACAGAGGGTGTCAGGGCTAAGAACCCCAACTCTCCCATGGAAACAGGCAGCTTTCCAGAGCATTTGGAAAACCAGTCCTCTTGGGAACATGAACCAGCTCCCACATAACATGGTACTTAAGTACCATTGTATGTTCATTGTAACAACTCCAAGCTCCCTTGCATTCCAGAGGAGTCTCTCTAGGAACTGGGAACTATGGTTTCTAGTCACCACATCAGCCCATTTACCACTGAAAATAATGCATTTCTAAAGGCATCCTGCCTCTGTGGCCGTGATTTTTTTTCTTTGTGTGTATGCATTTGTGCATGACGTGCTTGAATGTGTGTTTGTGTGTCCAAATGTGTGTGGGTGTATATGTGTGGAGGTGTGAGTGCACATGTGTGCACATGCATGTAGAGGCCCAAAGCTGACCCTGAGGATCTTCTTCAGTCACTCTCCACTTTATTGAGTCCCCTCTTACAGAAGCTGGGGCTTGCCAGTTTGCCCTTGGGGTCCCCCTGGCTCTACCTTCTCAGTGCTGGGATTACAGGTGGCTTCCAAGTCTGCTTGGCTTTGACATGGGTTGTGGAGATCCGAACTCCAGCCCTTACACTTGTGTGGCAAGTAATTTATCCACTGAGCCATCTCCCCAGCCCCAAGGCTATGGTTTTTAATGAGCTGATTTCTTGTCCATGTTCCAAATTTCTTTTCTACCATCTGAAGATAAAATATTTTTATATCTTCATATGCAAAGGAGTTATGGATATAACGAACATTTAAAAACTTCACACATCTATTCAGCTTCCTTCCTAAATACAAGCTGGTGTTTGGCTCTCTTTCCCACCTGCAAGCACTTAAAAGGATCGTTCCAGCTTTTATAATTACATCTTCATTTCTGTTCTCATCGTTGTGCTGAGATCTCATAATTAATGCACTTATTTCATACACTTAATCTTTGTGTTATCTGCTTGTCATTTTCATTGCTCTTCAGCAAGCAGCACAGCACACACTTTTATGCAATTGTAAAGAAAAATGTACTCGCATTAGCTAATGTGCGTTTTCCTGCAAATGTTCTAAATTCTGCTTTTCCTGCACATGTACTATTATGGATTTCTACATCTAATGATAGTACTCATTACACTTCATCTTTTGTTCCTCCGATATTTTCATAGTAAATAGCTTTGTAAGTGATTTTCTGTCTGGGGATATACTTATATTTCATTTTGGTAGTTATTACAAATTTCCTTATGATGTATTCCAAATGACAGCCACTTTTTCCAACATATTCAACTAAACTAATGCCCCATTATATCCCTTTAAGTTTTGCTATGTTTTATTAGATAATGAAATTTTGTTCTTGTCTTAATTTACATTTGCATTCCTCATGAGTGAGGTTTAAGTTTCCTGGATGACGCATGGACATGTGTCATCGGTATTTGTTTTTTCTGTAAGCTGCCTGCTCATTATATTCTTCATTCAAAGAATTATTTGTACACTTATGTTTTTCTTATTGGTTTGTTGGTCACTTATGAATTGGTTTGTAAGTATTATTTATACATTAAGCAATATACTTAGTTGCTTTCATATTGCTGTAGGCAAAATGCCTTCTAGAAACAACGTAAGGGAGGAAGTAGACATTTTGTTTGATGTTCCAAGAGGACCCGGTCCGTCATGGCAGAGTGGGCAGAAAAGGGCAGAGTGCTTGGCTTGAGGACAGGGATCTGGCACTGTCAGGCTGTCTCCTTTTCCCCTCCCACTCCACCCAAGCCCCCAACTCAGATGACGAGATCAGCCATGTTCAGGGTAAATCTTCAGTTAATCTCGGCTGGATGTAGCCTCATGGACCTGCTAGAGGTATGTCTCAGTCTCCTAGGTGATTCTAAATCAATCAAGTAGAAATAAAAATTAACTATCACAAGGCAATTCATATTCAAATGTTTTCCTAGTTCAATTTCTATTTTTTAATGTATGGGCTTTCTCCTGTGTAGTAAAGTGTTAGTGCTGTATGCTTTGGGGGTTTAATTTACTGCCTCCTCCCTTCAGAATATGCTTTATGAATTAGACCCCTTTTCTTGTTATGATTTTGTTTGGATGGTACGTAAGATCTACATTCACTCCACTGCAAAGTTTCTTTAGTGGAAGGAGACTGGTAGGAAGCCAACCTCTTTTTCCTCAATGGCTGGCCCATGGCTCCAGTGCCCATGATTCACACCTGTCCTTTATCACCTTCTAAATTACCCTTCATAGTTAAGCTACTTCTGAACTCTCTAGCCTGTTACAAGAGCGGACTCTTCATGAGACAGGAGCAAGCTCTGTCTGGCCTCTTCAGTTGCACTGAACATCATCTAGAATGAATTTCCTGTCTCTGTGTCTCTGTGTCTCTCTGTGTCTGTCTGTCTGTCTGTCTGTCTGTCTATCTGTCTCTCTCTCTCTCTCTCTCTCTCTCTCTCTCTCTCTCTCTCTCTCTCTCTCTCTCTCTCTCTCTCTCTCCTTTCTCTTCTTTCCTTAATTTCCTTACAATGGATTTCTAAACCCATTCAGGGTAGGATCCTGTCTGGTTCTCTCAGATCACCCATCCTCAAGCCCCCACCCCACAGGGTAAAGCACTTAGAAGCTTCCCATCTTCCCCAAGTCTGCACCTGACAGGCATTTCAGTCATTAGCTCTGTCACACGGGGCTGGCTAAGTGGAGGGCAACCCTCTGGTACCCGTTGCCATAGCAACTTCTCTGCTGGTGGCAGAAACAGGGACTCCAGCAAGGCACAATATTCATGTGGCTTCATTCCTGTACCACAGGAATGTTATCAGAGGCCAGTGAAAATGGAGCTTGTGCTCAGGGCTTTCCTGTCTCCATTAATCCTTGTTCTCATCACTGCTTCCTTGTTGTAGCTTTTGTTAATTTTATTTTTGGTTTTGGTTTTTTGTGGGGTTTTTTGTTTGTTTGTTTTTTGTTTGTTTGTTTGTTTTTTAGCTGGGACCACACATATATTCATTATTACACATGACTGTACTGCATTTTCTGTCATTTTTTCTTTTCTTTCTTTTTAATTTAGAAATAGTCTTATGCAGCCCAGGCCAGCCTCAAGCATGCTATATAGCCAAGGATGACCTTGAACTCCAGGTCCTTCTGCCTCTGCCCTCTACATGCTGAGATTACAAGCATATACCACCATACTTTGTTAATGTAGCGAAGGAAATTGAACTCAGGGCCTCATGAATGGTAGTCAGGCTACATCCCAAGCCTATATATTAATCTTTAAAGTGTCATTGACTTTATCAGTCATGCCATGGAGCTGTAGCACCACTCAGGGGAGTGCAAAACCCTCCACATGACAGGGTATGGCTTTTGCTAACCCATCATTTTTAAAAGGCTGTTACCTGAATTCACAAGTGTGATGTCCTCCCAGGGAAGAGCAATCACCCCTTAGAAATGCTCATTCTACCTCTGCTGACAGATTGGCTTCTGTCCTTGCCTATGGCCAGTAAAGCAGAAAAAAATCTTATCCAGATGAAGTTTTGAGCCAATACTTGAGTCTTTCTTCTCTGTCATCACCCATGGCAATGAACTGCTTCCCTGTGGTGAGATCTCTGAGTGAGTCTGCATACACTACACGACTATTCAGAAATGTGCAAGGCTGAGAAGATTCCTGATTCTGCTGTTTTGTTTTGCCTAAGGACAACCACAAGAGGCTCTTTAAAGATTTGAAATCTGAGCAATTTACACAGTAGGTAAAGATGCTTGCCATATAATCTAGTGACCTGAGTTCAAGTCACCAAACCCACCTAAGGCAGAAGGAGAGAACTAACTCCGCAAAGCTGTCCTCTGACTTACACACACACACACACACACACACACACACACACACACACACTCACACACTCACACACACACTCACACACACATACATACACACACACATACATA